CCCCGCGTTGATCCCCACCACCCCACATCTGCCCCAGCCTCAGGCCTTCCCCACACTATTGTCTGTGTCCATGGGTTCTGCATTTACGCAGGTAAGTTCTTTGACTCCCCTGCCTCTGGCCACCTCTCCATCTAGACAAAGTGGACAAGTGCTCAGTGTTGAGCCTTGAGAGAACTTCCCTTACCACATTCCTGATGTTTTAGCGGCCCATATCCACCCGGTGTCTTCCAATGGTAAGGGACCATCTGTGAACCTGGCCCAAATGTTTATTTCCTCTGTCAACTGTCAGTCCCCAAAGGACACAGGTGTGGGTTGAGGTGGAATTAAATTGCAGCCAGAGGAGGTGCTGTGGGAGTCCAAGCTACACGCTCATGATTACTTGTATATTCAGGACCTGCTCAACCCTCCTCTGGTATACACTGTTTACTCTGGATGATAGATTGCCGCTGTGCATGTCCAACCCGTATTAGTCATCTACTGCTGTGTAACAAATTATCCAACAAGACTTTATTATCTCACATGGTTTCTGAGCGTCAGGAATCTGAGAACAGCTTAGCTGGAAGATCTGGCTCAGGGTCTCTCACAAGGCTGCAGTCCAGCTGTCAGCCAGTGCTTTACTCACCCCCGGGCTTAACTAGATGTGCTGTAGACCAGCGGGCCTCAAATGGGGGCAATTTGTTCCCGGCAAGGATGTTTGACAATGTCTGTAGAGATGTCTGGTTGTCACAACTGGGGGTAGTGCAGCCACTGGAATCTAGCGAGTAGAAGAGAGGGATGCTGATAAACATCCGACAGTTGTTGGGATAGCCTCCCACATCGAAGAATTATTTGTCCCCAAAATGTCAACAGTGCCAAGGCTGAGAAATCCTGCTAGTGAGCCTCCCTTTGCTCTGGTTCCCACACAAAACCAGCAGCTTCGGGGATTACTCAGAACAGTGCTATGAACAACACACTCAAAAAAACCTGTTATCCCCCAAATCAAAAGAGGTCGAAACCATTGTAGCTCTTTCTTAGTGGGAATTGGAATCAAGTGCAGTAATTTCCTTTCATTTTCAAGGGGAAACGGCAATATTTTCCCAGACCACTGGACCCCTAGAATCTTCGCTGAGGTAATTGGCCTTTGATTTTTCTTGGGGTTTCTCTCCCACCCTCTGGCATACATATGTCTTATTAAGGCATCTAGGCCATTTCCTGCTCACCGTGTCAATAAAGTAACGTATCGGCATGATGTTCTGAGGAATATCGAGATGATCAAGCCCATGCAGACGAGACCTTGTCAGAGAGCAGGAGAGTCAACATAGGCCTGGGGTTACGACAGGGAGGGTGTTGTGCGATCCTGGTAGTTGAAAGCACGCTCCATCTGGCGAGCGTCCCTAATTTAGTATTGAAGGGGGAAAAGCATCTGCCAGATCAATAGCTGCATACAAAGTGCCAGGAGCTCTCTTGTATCATCCACTAAAGAGACTACATCTGGTCCAATACCTGAATAATTTTACAAGCATCCACAGTCATTCCCCAATAACTATCCTACTTGTGCACATGCCAAACAGATGAGCTAAATGCAGATACGGTCGAATAACCCGAGTGCTTCAAGAGTTAGATGGAAATAAGAATCTCTGTAGTTCCCCCAGGGGTAGGGCATTACTTTCAGTTTACTCTCCTATAGGAAGAGGAGATCTCAGGACATTTCCATGTGGCCCTACACGGGCTAGGGAACCAATATGGGGGTTCCTATAGTTGCTGAGGATGACCGATGACAAGTCCATTCAGGAATGGGAAAATGCACACAGTGTGGCTGAGTGGGCCCATTGGGACCCTGTGAGACAGCCACAAGCTAAATTTCATTTATTACCTGATTTCCACAAACGACACCCCTCTCCCACTCCAGGAGTCCAGAGGCTATTTGGGACTTTAGAGATTAGCACTGACTCAGAATCAATGTCCAGAAATCTCTAGAAGACCTAGTCCCCTTTCCTCTGTGCACAGTCGCCCTGGTGAATGGCTGCAGGTCTTCTGGAGAAGACTTGAAGATTTATGCTGGACATGTATGGCAATGTTGTATGGTCCTTCATCTAGGGAGGTCTCAGAACTCAGCATGCATCCGTTCAGCTGAAGTGCTGGCTAAAACGAAGACCGTCCGTGTCAGTAAGGCTGGGGAGGGCCTGAAAACTTGCATCTCTAACGAACTCCCAGGTGCTGCTGCTACTCCTTGGGCACAGTTTGAGAATCTGACCTGAAGATTTCTGTCTTTGAACAGATTCAAGTCCGAGGCTTGGGTAACAGCCTGTCACCTTCCATTAAACAACTCAGGTTTTCTGGCCACTGGACCTAGGGATTTTCCAGTTACATGAGTCAATTAATTCTTAGTGGACTGTCCATCTCTTTTGGTGTTAGGGCCACCGTGAGCCATGAGCCAACATTTAAGATCCTGTGTGCTAAAGGATCCTGCCTGCTGCTCCAGGCGCTCTGCCCATTGCCGTCACGGCATCCCTCGTGCTCCTGGCTGTGAAGGCCTTGGCTTTGCCTCTCCGGGAGCCTGTCATTCGCTGAAATCCAGAAGTCGATGTTCATGAAGGTGTCTTCTTTCATCAATGGGTCCCTTAAGAAACCCCGAACAAGAGACTTAGCCTAAAACATCTGTCAAGCCTGGAGGAGACTGACCACAACAATATCAATCAAGAAAGACGTTTCCATGTTTCTTACTACTCTGTCTCCCTACGTCCCCATTCTGGGGGGACAGAATCTGTTGGTGGCAGAGAGAGAAGCTGACCTGAACCTCACCCCTACTGTATCCCCACTTGCTTACGGGACAAGAAGGAGGTTCATCTGCAGAGCAATGTTTTGGTTACTCCATGAATGTTAATTACTAAAATAAGGGTGTGTTTTGTGATTTGAAGCGACTGGAGCTCCACCTACATTAGTTAAGAGTGACCAGAGAGCTCGGGAGTCTGCCTGAGTTCCCATCCAGGTGATGGAAAAGAAACCTCCCGTGGATCCTGAAAAATACTGGGGAGTACAAAGCAGGTTGCTTTGTCACTGAACTGCTTGTTCAAGGCACNGTGGATTCTGAAAAATACTGGGGAGTACAAAGCAGGTTGCTTTGTCACTGAACTGCTNTCCTGAAAAATACTGGGGAGTACAAAGCAGGTTGCTTTGTCACTGAACTGCTTGTTCAAGGCACCGGCTATCATGGCAAATGATGTGGAAACATATGGAAATGGTCACATCTCCCTAGAGAAGGCGAGACAAGGTGCTCCTAGGCACAGCCCCAGCTCCCCAGGCCCCCAAAGGACCACAGAGGCAGTGGGTGCGGATGGTACTATCCTGAGCGACGAGGATCCCGCCGTGGCCTAGAAGCTCGCTCACAGGCGCTTACACCCTCTGGCTCTCTGCCCCCTAGGTTGTTCCAGAGACTCTGCTAATGTCCTATTACCCTGAGAAGGTGCAAAACAAGCCCAGTGTGCTTCTGAGTGTCAACCAGGGGGCTGGGTGAAATGAAAGGCAGGTTCACGGAGTATCCTTCCGAAGGCTTAGGCTTTAGATTTGCCCGAGGTTCATTCTTTAGGTCCAAATACCTTTAAGTGGTAATAACCACTTTTTTTTCCAACCTACAACGTATGATAGCCCACAGTAAAAAACGATGCTAAAATCATTCACATTTGGGACAGATCAGTTGTGTTTTGGAAATTCAACAGGAACACACAGGAGGCTGGAGGGCTGTCCTTACATATCTATTAGCGCTCGACCAACAGACACATTTGTGCTGCCCCCAGCGAGAGCCAGCGCTGTGGCTGGGACCTTTGATCTTGAGTCCCACTCCAGCATGTGGCACTACTAAGCGTAATCAAAGTGCAAATCTTTATAGAAAATTAGAGAGACTCTGAAAAGGGGACGGAGGCTTCCTTCCTCTAATTTCCTTTCCTGCCAGGTTCCCGGTCTTAAGTGGAAAACATTTGGACTTTTGATGAAATCTGCTAACACTTTGAGGGGATTTACACTGTATACAGTCAATTATTGGACTGTCCAAGATTATTTCCATTAGTGTGATTGACAGACTGTTTCTTGCCAGGGCATAGCCACAGTTCCCAGTGGCATGGGTATGAAATTGCCACCCTGTTCAGTGACATTAGACAAAGGAGACATCTCAGCTCGGGGGGAGCAGTGACAGGGTAAGGGGGTGAGGGGGGTGACACACATACATCCAGGTTTTGATAATAATTTATTAAAAATTTACAGGATGAGTTATTAATCCTTAAAGCCTATACTCATCAAAAGAGGTGCCCTCTCCCAATATTTCCAAACCATTAATTATAACTCAGATCAAGTTGTGAGAAAACTAGTAATTTTTTAAGATTAAATTCCTTTCAGATGTAACTGTCAGCCCACCTAAGAGAGTGGGAGAGAATTTCTGAATTAGAAATTGAAAGTGAAACTCCTGTTTTTTCCAGGTTGATCATGGTCACCTGCCCACCAAGGTTGTTGTTGAGTTTGAGCAACTGGGATGCACCTGGGTCCAGAGAAAGGTCCCAGGTAAGTGTGTAATTTGGGAGAGCTTGGTCCCAGGAAGGCTTTGTGTGTTGTATCTCATGGTTACTGCTGATTGTACCCCAGCTTTGAGCAAATTGTCTTTAATTCTGTAGTTATTAAGAAAATAAAAAAGCCCTGGCCGGTGTGGCTCCGTTGGTGGGAGTCATCCCATGCGCCGAAAGGTTGCTGGTTCGATTCTGGTCAGGGCACATGCCTGGGTTTCCGTCTTGATCCCCGGGTCGGGGGGTGTAGGAGGAAGGTGACTGATGTTCCACATTCACATCGATGTTTCTCTCTCTCCCTTCCTCTCTCTCTAAAAATCAATAATAATAATAAAAATATTTAAAAAGAAAAAAAGAGACATCTGAAGGACCACTGGAAAAGTTTAATCCAGCGCAGAGAAGTCCACACCTGGGCTGGTCGTTCACGGTCTCCTCCGACAGTGCCAAACCTGCCTGGCCAGTGTTCTCACTGTACTAGCTGTTGAATATTTTCAACATCACCCTGAATTGGTCTCATTAGTTGTATACACAGGCGAGCATCCATAGGGAGTCTAGCAAAGTCCAACTATAAATACCTGGGGTCAGGAGCCAACTGTTTAGAGTGTGGTCCACACTCAGTCACTGTAGTGGCGGATCACTCCAGAAGGCAGCTGACGTCTCTAGTTCTTAGCATCTTCTCCCAACTGGAAATACGACTAATCCTCACCTGGCTGCCTCATGAGACTTGTGTTGAGGTTCAAACCAGGCAGTAGATAGAAAAGCATTTGTTTATAAATTTGTTAACTAATTTCAAAGAAATACATAGTAATCGTGCATCCTTTAGAAATGCCAAAAAGCAGAGTATAAATAACTATTCACTTTCTCACCACACAAGGACAACTGTTAACATTTTTCAAATTTTCCTTCCAGCTTTCTATAAAAACTCTGACAATCCAACAACAGCTGCTGAGCGCAACAAAAATGGAATAAGCCCACTGCTGTCCTTCCTGCCGGGTGGGGACACAAACAGCTAAAGAAATGCTATGATCGTAATAGGAAGAAATCCAAATAAAAGTGGGAAGCTGTACCGTAAAATACAACGGCAGGTCTGACTCCCAAAGATGACAGATATTTTAAAATATTTATTCAGAAATAAGAGACACTTTTATACCCAAAGGCTTTTCCTTGGACACTGACTCAATTCTCTTCTAAGGGAAGCTGTCATTGTATTGCTGCCGTAAAATTCCAGTTACACCAAAACAAACTCGATGCCGTGACCAGATTGGCCTTATTTCCTGAGCGTTATGCTCAGTCAACAACTGCGTTTCCTGTGCTCTCCTGCCAGACACGCCGACAACTCACTGTCGCTCCGGCGGCCACGCCATCTGTTTATACATATTGGTTTCAAATCGTCAGGCATCTTCGAACGGATGGGTAAGGACCTTCCTGGGACAGAAAACCCAGTGTGTTAGAAGCACTTAAGCACATACAGGGTTATGTGGGCTGATGCTTTCCACAAAGGTTTTAATTCTTTATTATTTTCTTCTCAAAAGAGAACTGCTGCTGTTACAGGAAATGGTGCTCATCGCACGTATCCGGGAAGGCACTGTCCTCCTAGGTGACTGTTTCAGGAACATTTAACCCCCAGCCTTGCCCTGCCTCCTCTCAGTCCTCTGCCTACCCCTGGGCTCCCCAAAAAGGCGACACTTCCCGTCTGCATAAGCCCTTATAGACCTGGGAATGTGCTAAATAGAGGGTCGCAGGCCCTACTTGGGGTTCTGATCAGGTTCTCTGGGGGTGGGCCTACGGTCCTGTATTTCTAATAAGCAATTCAGTTTCCTCCTCTGTAAAATGGGGGTAACAATGGTTCCCACCCCACAGGGAGCTGTGGAAATGAATGAGTTATTTTACAGAGAGCGCTTCGACCACTGCCGGGCGCCCAGCTCTACACGAGGGACCATCATTGCCTTTGCTATTCTAACACGGCCAGCCAATCGCAAACAGGTGTTTTGGAAATACTGCCTATTAGTTTTCTTAAAGTTCCGTGTGCATAAAAATCATCTGGGGGTTTCCAGACGCAGGTGCCTGGAGCTTCACCCCTTCCCCGAGATTCTGATCTAGTAAGGTGGACACCTGCCTGGGGATCTGCATCCCCGTGTTTCCTTAAGGGGGGAAATGGAGCACCGGCGGGTGGACTGCAAACCAGGGGTTTTCCTTTTCCCATTCCTAATCCCCAAGGCCAAGAAACTGGCCTCTCAGACTGGGGCGAAGATGAAGCCCATTCAGACAGAGGGAGCTGTGGGAGCTGTTTGATAACACGGTGAAGGACGACTGGGGACTCTCGGTTCCCACTTCATCTGCGGAGGGCCCACACTGCCTGTCTGGGGCTGGCTCGCGTGGGGTGAGGAAACAGATGCTGCTTCTGCAGGCTGCCCTGAGTGAGCCCCGGAAAGCTGCTCTAGCCGGGCTTGGCAGGCCCACCTCTCCCGGCAGTGGGGCCTGACCAGAGCTCTCCTCCCCTAACCTGTCCTGCACCAGGCCAGCCTGGGCCTACTCAGGCCAGCTCCAGGAACTTCTGAAGACCTGGCCTGGAGTCCGTTGCTTCTGCAGCTGCAGTTCACAGAGACCCCAGGCTGTCTGGAAGAAAGAAGTGCACATCCCTGGCAAGCCCAGGAAGCTCCCATGCCCAGGCAGGAACGCCGGAGAACCCTTACACCACATGCCTGTGCCACGGAGCCAGCCCCAACTCGCTTGTGCTCTGACCTCTCAAACTTGAGATTTAAAGGGCGAGTGCTCCAAAAGTGAGACGACAAGGCTGGAGCTTCTCTAATGAACAGCATTCCTTCCCCGACGTCCACTGGTGATTATGCAAATTATATATTTAAACGTAATCAATCCTTCAACCTCCTGGAACCTGATCAAGCCTGGATCTGTCCATAAACAAAGACATTACGTAGTTAGCAGATAGGCATTTAAATGGAGACAACCGCGTCCTTGCTTTTAGTAAACATTATTGCTTTTTATAGAAAATTAGATATAGGCTATGTTATAATAAGGTGGAATTAACATTTAAAAAAATGCTTTCCTTCAAACTCCTGTAATTTTTCTCCTGTCCTTTCTAAATCCAAGTCCATGTACTTTCTCCTCCTAAAATGTTCTCTCTGGGCAGGCCTGTCTCGAATACTTGAGAAGCTGGGGTGAGAGAAGACCCCTGGCCTGAGACGCCCCCTCTCAGCACTGACTCCAGCGTCACCAGTGGAAATCCCAGCTCACTCCTCCAGATTCTTTTTGCACAGCTGCCCATTGGCCTTCTCTTGGTCTGAGGGGCAAATCCACTCCTGGCATGACAGGCCCCCAGGAGAACAGATGGGCAAAAGGTCTGCAGAGTTAGGCAGCAGAGTCGGGAATTCCAGGGTCCCAGGAGCCCTGAGCAAGAGTGGGGGAGTGGGCTCTGGGTGAGCACATCCCTTTGGAAGTCCCAAATCTTGCCCTTATGGGGAGGAACACAACCGGAGGAGGACTGGAACGCGGCCCTCTGAAGTACAGGGCTCAGGACAGGAACCCAGGCTGCCCTATTCTGAGAGCAGTGCCGTGTGTATATTTATCTCTACAAAATATATAGTATATTTTACCTACGTGAATCCCTTGGTCTGGATGTTCTATCAACATGATCTGCACAAACCACTGTCACAGATTCCAAGGTTCTAGAAGGCAAGAACCAGACAGAGAACACTTTCTTTGTGTAGCACCTAGTTTATTTAGGCAGAGATACCTCTTGATGTTGTGGTATAAGGACGATTATGTAAACTGCCTGCTGAAATCCTCAAAAGGGAATAGGGAATATTTATTTGGAAGTCATAGGATAAGCAAGGGTTGTGTGGCACTGTCAAAAAACACAGATGTAAAAAAAAAATTAAAAAAAATGTCTCACTAACAGATTCAGACAGAGTTTTGAAGGTTCCTAAATCAGTCTCCTGCCCATGGCCCAGGGCTTGCCCTCCTGAGAGCCCAGCTCTCCCGCATCTAGGTAACACTCAGCCCTTCCTGCCCCGCGCCCGCCCCAAGCCTTCCCCCAGCTCTCAGGCCACCGTCACCTCCCCAGGGCTCCCACAGCTCCACCCCATAGCTCTGACCACCCGGCTGCAACTGCTCCTTGCCCATGAGCCTCTCCACTGAGCTGGCGCGCCCTGAGGTCTGTGCTGTACGTATCAGCCACAGCATTCCCACGGCTCGTCCTGGGACTTGGCACATGCTAAATCTCACTACAGGCCTCTTGCCTGCTCACCAGCAGCAGTAAGGATTCAGAGCCAATGCAGTTTTGGAGTGTTTGCTCTTCATTACCAGGGACTCCAAGTGCCGCCAGATTCAAGCAAAATACCACTTTAACTCCTGGAAGGAAAAGATGAAAGTAAACCGAACACCTGAATGTGCGGTGTTACAAACATGGAGAGCATTGGGGGCACATATGAATGTCACATATGTGCCACTCTGAAGTGTTTAAATGTCACTCATTTGTAAAGTTGACCTAGGGTTACATGCCTTTAAAAGGGACGCATTTGTTAAAAAGACAGTTTTCACACTTTTCCAGAAAAACTTTATATACACACACAAGTGTGTTATCATTTTATCTGGAGATCTCAAAAGCTGACTCTTACAGAAATCGGGTTGAGGGTGTGAGGGACACCTATCAGGAACTGACTGTACTTATGTGAAAGATGGCACTCTGTATCTATTTTAAGCAAGTTTAATTACATGCACTGTATCTATTTTAAGCAAGGTTGATTACATGCACGGGGCGGATTACTTCAAGGAAAGGAATGTTATGGAAAAGCAAGTGTCTTTTGACATGAATCCCCGTGTGTCATTACTACCTGCAGTCCAGGACTACTGGTAGAATATTAAACACTGGGCAATAACAGCAAAGACAGCCAAAATATTCAAAGATACTGAATGTCTGCAGGGGTCTGATAACTTTCTGAATCTTTCTTAGAAACCTCCATAAAGGAAAGACAGCCCCAGGGGGGGAGGTGATTGGTCCAAATGACAGTGACCCTCACGCTGGCTGCTGCCCTGACTTTCTCTGCAAGTTTTCTGCGAGGAGTCAGGAGGAGAGGAGGCCTCTGTCTGGTTCCTGCTTCTGCCGCTCCCACCTTCCACCTCTCTCAGCTTCCATTCTCTTTCCTGCTCGGAATGCTCTGTGTGAGTCCCAAGGCCGGGGCTCAAAGATGCTGCCACGGTTCCATCCCAGGCAGGTCCAGGGATTCGCTTCGAAAGCCAGCAGCTTGTCTGCATGTTCCTTCTGGAAAACTGGGGTAACCTCGGTTTCGAGCAAGGCCTGAAGGTCCTCCTACCAGCTTCTGGGGCCCAATCAGGACAGCTTGTGCCACACCGTGCAAGCTCCTGTCTCACCCTTTAGGGCAGCCACCCCTTCGTAAAGAGGATGGGAGTCAGGAGCTAAAAGGGTTTCAGAAAATTCTCACAATGAGAACGAAAAACCAGACTAGCTGGGTAACTTCATCTTTTATCTTAATGACATACTTGGTTCTCCAAGTTCAACCTTTATCTGAAAACTCAAAGCAAACCACAAGCACGCTTGGCCTGCTCATTCGGAGTGCCAAGTGGACCTTTCACTACCTACCTTCAGTTCTGCGACACCCATCACCCTGGAGCTGGGGCCTCGGGCCCTGCTCACCCGTGAGTCTTCACCGACCATGCTGCCGTGGATCTGTCTCATCTTTGCTTAAATTCAGAACCTGTCTCTATCACTTACCTATATGAGTTGGTAAATGAGGCAATTAATCACTGCCAAAGGCTGGGATGATTAAAACTCACCTGCATCTCAGCAGCTTTCTCTCGGATTCCCTGATATCATCATCGAGCCTCTCCATGCCTTGCGCTTCCCACTAGACTGTCAGCCATTTGAGGGGAAGACATGTCTCTTTCTTTTGATTATCCACAGAGTATCATTTAAAGTTACATTTTCTGAACACTTTGGGGGGGGGGTAGGGAGAAGGGGCCTTTATTTTTAGCAAGATAGTTTGCATGAACAAATAGTAATTAACAGCTCTGCCTCGCCCATTCCCATTCTCAGCAGGGCCCTGAAAGGAGCCACTGATAAATGCTCCAGGCTCCATCCATAACAAATGATAAGACTTCCCCAACTGAGCCAGGCCTGGGAACCCTGGGGCCTACAGACTGAAGATGCTGGAAGCCCAGGCCCGGAGCAAGGGGGGCCCCTCAAGGTAAGCAGTGAGTTACCCAAGGATCTGGGAAGGTATATATCTGGTTACTGTGTAGCTGTTACCTGCGCATGTAGCACGTACCTGGGAAGCTTATTATATAGAGGCTCGCGTGCAGAGCCTCCCTAGGGAGGGAAGCTGGTGGGACTAAACCACCAAGGTCTGACAGACCTTCCCTGGTGCCAGAGCCAGTTCTGAGCTCTCTCCTGGCTCCTGCAGGGCCTTTGGTTCAGACCCCAGCGGGGGCGGTGCCTCTCCCCGCGGCCAGCGGCGCGGGGCGGCGGTTGCAATGGGTTGACCCAGCCTGCGCCGACCGTGGCCCGCCGACGGCTCCTGGCAGACAACCTCGTGCTCCCCAAAACTTCTGCAGGGTGCTGGCGGCCTCCGCGCTGCCCCAGCTTCCCGAAGGGTGGCACCTGGAAGAGCAAGCGACTTAAAAACCAGTAAGACAAGCCGCGCTCCCGCTGCGCAGAAGCGACTGGTGTCTTCGTCTAAAATAAAAAGGTCTCTGTCTGCAAATCCCGTTTGCTCGACCGGTAATCCACCCCCGCCCCCAGCCCGGCGCGTCCGCCGCGTACAGCTGTTTTTAATCCCCGCGTTTCTCACTTGGCGTCCCGGGCTCCTCCGGCTGACCAGACGCGGAGCCACTTAGCGTTTCCCCCTCCCCCCGCCGGGGCCTGCGGTCCCTCCGCCGTCTCCTCTTTCCCCGCCTGCATCCCCTGGGGCAGAGTGTGGGAAGAACGAGTTTCCGCCCGGTTTGCTCGCCACTCGCCGACTTGGGTCCCTTCCGGACGCAGCCTGCGCACCCGGCTCCTCCCCCGGCCGTTCC